CAATCAGTTGTAGGGCGGCGGAGCACTGGAGATGGCGAATCAAGAAGCACCCTTTAAAGGGTTTCTGACGGGTTTTAGTGGAATTGGAGCTTTTCCCGACCAAATTGGCCTTAGTCACAGGTATGAAAGTTTCCCCACTCACTAAGATCTTTATTTATGTGAAGTTTGAGAATTTTTAGAAATAGTTGAATTTTCTGGCGAGATGGGGCAGCCGATTGCCACCGACGGTGGTGCGTGGCCAATGGGCTCCCGATGCTATTTTACACTAAATTGATATCCTGATCTCAGATTTGATATCCATATGATGTGATTTGAGTATTACGAATCTAGTTTGATTAAGGTGTGTTACTTGATAATTATATGAATCGACGATCTGACCGTTGGATCGTCACCAAACTTTGATATGTTATAACACACAATATTTGAGGATATTAGAAACTTACAGATCGGGAATCCGACGTACGGTATTTCCCAATTAGGACATGTAAGTTATATGTTCTATTGATAAGAATTCTAAGACATGATTTGATAATTGTTCTAGGCGCCGATCGTTCGTGACGCCTTAATGTTGTGCTAGGGAGTTGTAGCATGGACTCCAGGTGAGTGGGCGTTTGGTTTTCTATATATATATGTATGTGTACTTTAAGTTTTCCCCAGAAATTGTTTTAAATGAAATGTGATTGAAATGCCATGTCATACTTACGTTATATTTTAGTATATGCATTGGTGTAGTCATGTATAATGTTGCATGATGCTGCGGAGCCCATGTAAGCTACAGGTGAGTACATTATGATGTTAGTGGCTATGATGTATATGGATATGATTGGATGCATTTGGTACTCATTATCTTGCACCCCAGTGTTAGTGCTTCGCCCGAGGTCAGGGCCTAGCCTTCATGTGATCGTTCACCTCCCGCACCACACGCTCACCTTGGATCCAAGGCAGGTGCTAGCCTATCGTACAGACCACATTAGGTGGTTCCGACTCGTAGGTGACTTGCGATACTTCGCACAGGCTTCACATGATTGTAGAACTTGAGTGTATTTATTTACACCCAGCCTGTCGTACAGACCACATTAGGTGGTTCCGACTTGTGTGCAGGTTTAGAGCCGTACAGGTCACGTTAAGTGACTCCAGTTGACATATCATTTTACATTGATTTATTTCACCTGGCTTACTTATTTCATTGTTGAGATACTTGACATGGCATATACTTGGTTTTCACTACTCTCGAGCATGATTTCTATATACGTATGTATTATTACTTTCTGGGAAATTATACGGGTTTTACGTCGAGAGGTTATAATGTTTTCAAAAATGTTTTATTAAAAATTTTATTTTCAGGCCCACTCACCCTTGTTTTTGCGCCCCTCTAGGTTTTAGCTGTTGGATGTTCGTATCGACGAGGATTTGTGGCGAATCTCAGTATAGGTGGCTACCTCTGAGGGTATTATCCTTACCTACCCCACTGTACTTTACTTATGCTCTGATGTTGCGTGTGAAACGGGATCGTTCCCGCTCGCCATGCACTCTGGTCATTAGGCACTTTTAGATTTAAATTTATTCATATTGTCCACATCATTATACTTTATGGCTTCGTCACCTTCTAGGTGTCGGCCAACATAGCTCGATTCGGAGTCCTAATAGACATTCTGGGTTGGGGTGTGTCATTATCTACATTAAGGTAAGGGGGTGTGTACATTTAAAATTAGAAAAAATTGAAAAATTATATGAATGGGTACATATAAGATAAAAAAATTAATGGGTACAAACTTATTCTAATTTTATTTTTAATATTTTAGAAATGTTTTGAATTGAAAATTAATTAGGAGTTTAATAAGGGTGTAAGTATTAAAACCCAAAATCAATTACTAATTTGTATTTTTCAAAATTATGTAACTGACGTGTAATTCATTAATACATTAATGCTAGGGACTTTGATCAAAATCTAAAAACTGATAAGGTCTCAATCAATGAACATTAGAAATTAGGGAATGAATACTAATATTTTTTCTTTTTTCTTTTTACTTGATTTGATTTGATATTTGATAACTGATTCAGTTTTAATGACTCATATATCATGTGTGCAATTTGTGAGACTGATGCGAGAATTATACGCACACAAATTAAACCCTCTTTTTATCAATTGTAGTAAGTATGTAAGTAGGGATCGTTCTGGACTGGGGATTAGGAGGGATTGTTAATCACTTGGATTTGACTCAAAAACGTAAAAACAAGTTTAAAACACTATAATAGACTCAAAGAATGCAAAACTCAGAATAAGATAGATTAAGACTAAGACTAAACAAAATATGGGGGGGGGGATTGAGGTTTGGACGAATTTAAACTAAAATGAATAGATTGTAAAGAAAACAAATTGTAAATACGAATTTGACGGAAATGAATGGATGGGAAGCTAGCTAAGGGGTTCATCTCCACACATGTTATACTTGCATACAAAATGATTTCTAATTGCTTTTCAATAAACCATGAATTCTCAACACCCCGGGTTAATTAGGTCCGTTTAAATTAACCGTCAAGTTTTCCTTAAGTTAATGAATTGGATGATTGCATACGACAACCCAAAGCATTCCCCACAAGTTCCCTACATGAATTGCATAATAGCAAGAATCATTAAGTTCTTTGAAAACCATAAGTGTTGACGAGGCATTCGTTACTATGATTGCATGAAACTTATGCCAAGAATTTACTTAACGCGATTGTTTATAAGCAACCTCCACTACTTGTGAATATAAGTTCATAACTATTAGGTGAAACTCACTTATATTCTAGCGTCATATTCATGCATGAAAATTAAGCGTGCACTCTCAATAAACATACATAAATAGGTTATCAATCAAATAGTTAAACAAATTGAATCCACAACTTATGAAACGTAATTAGAAGTAATCAAATCATATCGCAAGCATAAACATGTATTTTGAATCCCCCCTAGCCAAGGGGGGGTTTAGTTCCTCATACGTACAAGACAAAGAGAATTGAAATTAAACATTGAAATCGAGGAAAAGCAATACCTAAAAATTCCAACAACTCAAACTTGAATTGTATGAACGTTTAGGCACTCTTCTCCTCCTCTTTGTTGTCGCACAAGATCTATAGATAGGTTTTGGGTTGGTGTTTGTATGGAGGAATGGTTGGATAGTGTTTTGGAGGGTTGGGGAGTGGTGGAAATGAAAGGGAAGAATGCTGGAATTGGAAGGGGTGCACGGCAAAGCTTGTGTTTCAGGATGTGTTGTGTGGAAGATGGTGTGTGTTTGTGTTGTGAATGGAGGTGTGGGAATGAATGAATTGTGTGATGGGATTGCATGGTTTTATAGGGAGAGAATGAGAGAGAAATGGGAGTGAACGTGGCTTAATGATGAAGGGTGAAAGCTGGAAAGCATGTGGCAAGGTGTGCGTATGTGCTGGAATGGTGTGTGTATGCACGGGTTTGGGAAGTTTTTGATGATTTTCTGGCTGCATGATGAAGAGTTAATAAATAATGCATGTAGGTGGCTGCAATGATGAAGAGTGAGAGCTGGAAAGGGTATGAAATGCACGGCAAAAAGGGGTTAATGGGGCTGGAATTGTTGATGTGCACGGCAATGCTTCTTTGGTGCTAAAATGGGTGCTGTTTTGCATGCCAAGGGATGTGTGATGAATGATGAAGAGTTGCATGTGCTTAATGATTAAAGGGTGAGGGGATGCAGCTACAATAATGCAGTGGGAAGGCTGGAAGTTTGAATGGGGAATGCACGGCACAAGGGAGAATGGGAGAGTGTGGTTGAATGATGAAGTTTTTAATGGGAGTGACAGCTAGGGAAAGTGTGCAGCTGCAATATGTAAAAGAATGACTAAATAATGTATGTAGGGTGCAGCTAGGTTGGTGGAAAGCTGGAATTAAAAGGTTTAAATGTCCTAAAACTAAAGGAAACAAGGATCCCTTGCACGGCAAGGGATGATGATAAAGGGAAATTTTGACATGGCACATGGCAAGGAAGAGGAAAGGTCAAGGGACCTTTGTTTTGTGTCCTAGAATGCATATGAAGTCTTCAAAGTGTTTGGGACATAAGGTCAATTAAAATTTGGGAAATGTCACACCAAGATAGGAAACCCTGGGCTTAACTTTCCTACTTCAAGTAGGAAACCTTCTTTGACTAGGATTCCTCGTTTGATTTGGAATCCTCTTCAATTTCGTCCATTCCTTTTGCTCCAAACATAAGCTATCCATTCCAAGCCCAATTTTGCTCCAAAATGCTCCAAAATGCACCTTTTTGCTCCCTTTGCCATGAGGACCTAAAAACAAACGAAAATAGCTTAAACTACTAAAACAACTATGAATTAACAACATAGATGCACGAAAACAAGCTAAGTAAGTCGCCTAAATATGCTCCTATCAGAGACCCATGATGTGCTCATAAACTCTAATGAATCAGAATTTAATTTGTTGGCTACCATTTATTTCACTGAAATTTTCATGTCTATAATACCTTTGTTACAAAAAAATTGGAGAAATCCCTATAAGCCTATACAAAAAATATCAGGAGGATCTTCTCTAGATCCTCTTTATGAGGATTCTGGGGATCCTCAAATAGTGTTTGTTCATCGTATATCGTGTGGTCAGTTTTCGTCAGGTACTATTCATATTTAATTTAAAATAAAAGTATTTAAAATGATTTGTGGTCATACGATGTATGATGAACGGACACGATTTGAGGATTCCCAAAATCCTCACAAAGAGAATCCGAAGAAGATCCTCATTCCAAAAATTAAATCTAGCTCTGTACCCCCTTCAACATGCAAGAAATAACCTAGCACCTGGCTATAGGCTTAGCAGGCAATTCGATGTAAGTAAAAAGATATAATAAAAAACTTATGGAACCAAAAACATTATTAATGTATAATATTATATACTTTTCTATCTCTGCACAAGGTCTTAGCTCGTCCTAATGTGAGATTAGTGTGATCATACGAGGAAGGTCGCAACTGGGGAAGATCGGTTGATTCAGTTGTGACCTAGAAACTCCAAGTTGACTTTTCTCGATCGCCGTCTCATATCTTAGCTAGCATACGTAATATTATATTTCTGAAAGCATGGTTGATTATTTCTTAATTCATATAAACCCAGTATTTAACCTTTCCCAGAAAAAGACCTGGCAACCACTCTGAGGAAACAATATTTCAGTCTCAAAGGAAGGCAGGTTGGAGAAGAAGTGAAACCGAAAGAAAATGATTTCTGCGGCCCCATCTGATTGTCTCCAACCTATGTTACAACAACAGCACCACCAAGGGTTGCAAAACTATGAAGACCCTCATCGGGTTTCTTCATTTTTACTTGAACCAAACTCCCCGACATCGTCGTTGGGCCCTGAGAATCACTCAACCTCTCTCTTCTACAACCTCTCAGTTCTCAAAGAAAAGGTTCATCAAGCCAAATCACTAGTCAACATCCTCATCTCTCCAGACCATCATCAAAGTCAACCCCATGAATCAACCACCATCGCCATGAGCAATGTCATACAAGAAATCATCGTCACGGCTTCTTCAATGATGTTCACATGTCAAAAGATGGCCCTTGGTTCCGCTACTATCCCAGGTAACAACACCAACAACGCTACTACTAGCACCACTACTGGTCAAGGTCTTAGTGATCATTGTGATCATAATCGCTTATCGCAAACAAACTTTGGCGTCACTGATAGCAATAAAATTGATCAATCCTCCTTCTATTCAACTCATGAACAAACACTCGATTGGTTTAGCGATAGCTTCAATGATTGTACCACTAGATATACGAGTACTAGAATTGTCAATCATAGTAGCCACAATGATAGGCATGTGCAAGGCAAGGAATTGCCTGTTTCTTGGAAAAACTACGACATTATTGAGCTTGATGCTTCTGATTTGTTGGCTAAATACACCCATTACTGTCATGTCTGCGGCAAAGGGTTCAAGCGTGACGCGAATTTGAGAATGCACATGAGGGCTCATGGGGATGAGTACAAGACGAGCGATGCTCTAAGCAACCCCTTGAAGAAAAATAACAACAATAATGATACTGCAGGAGGCATAGATGGAAACACTGAGAGTTCAACGAAATTGCCAATAAAGTATTCGTGTCCGCAAGAAGGGTGTAGATGGAATCAAAAGCACGCGAAGTTCCAGCCTTTGAAATCAATGATTTGTGTGAAGAATCACTACAAGAGGAGCCATTGTCCCAAGATGTATGTGTGCAAGAGGTGCAACAGGAAGCAATTCTCGGTGTTATCTGATCTACGCACCCATGAGAAGCACTGCGGCGATCTGAGATGGCAGTGTTCATGTGGAACAACATTTTCAAGGAAAGATAAGCTGATGGGGCACATCGCCTTGTTCACTGGGCATACGCCGGTTATGATAACTTCTTTGACAAGGAGTGGGAAGGTTGATCAGCAAAGCCATGGATCGCAGATGCAATTGGGATGAATCTTGATGTTTGATATGCACGGTCTTAGATGTTTGATATGCACAGTCTTATCTTATGTGTCAATGAAAATGTTTAGCTACAATAATTAGCAGTATGGTTTGTGAGTTTAGCATACACATTGTAATGAATTAAACGTACTTATTTATTCTAGCTCTGAAACTTTCGATTCAATTTTCAAGGAACAAATCTGTACTGATCCCAACCTGTGTGTAGTATTAGTTATTAGAATTGGGAAACCTATTCAGTTGGAACTACAAAGCAATCTCTGAACTGATCCCAAACCTGCGTGTAGTATTAGTTATTAGAATCGGAGAACGTATTCAGTTGGAAATACAACACAATCCGATTATTCTCTAATTCAATACCCTTAATCACATTATTAGGGTACATATAGTTTATGAAAAACTGATAATTTTGGTTTTTTTTAATTTATATGATTCAACTGAGACGTATTGGAATACCTTCCTAAATCGGCTCAATACTCCGTCTGAAGATTCTCGAATCATATCGTAGACTATTACCCTTCTCTTACTGAAGGTTAAAGATTTCTTATATCGTACACTCACATAAATTTGTGAACAAGTCAAGGACCTCAACACTGCATGGAACACACGGGTGGTGGAGCATGGTCAGTTGTCTTGCATCATCAAATGTCACAATGACGTATCCACACGACAACTGTGGTGTCTCAAGTCTAAGGATCACTTGCGTTATTGCAACTCTTAAAGTGTCTTGCTTTACACGTAAGTGAAGTTCTATGCAATATCCTTCGATTGATCCATAAGTGAACTCACTCTCTATTGAGCACCTACACACTTGTCTTAATATCTACACACGAATGGCTTGAGATTTCTCCCAATCGAGCAGACTTAGAGTGTACGGGTCTTTCTAGATTATCAATGTCTATTTAATAATCCCTAGACTGAAAGCAGTTTAGAATATGATAGTTGGATAGAAGAAGGTCTCTCAAATCTAACTTCTATACCTTACTTTTTTCTTTATTCATTATTCATTGACTCACATTTCAGACGTACTACGACTAATGAGATAATCTTTACCAATAATCTTACACTTTGATTAGATTAGTTTGATTAATCATTTGTATTTATCCTAGAGATTACCACTAATGATTGGTTTGTAATTAGGGCATACATATAACAAGAGTAAAAGCTTTTCAAATCGTGGCAATTTTAATTCCTATCAAAGTCGCCAAATTGAATCTTCTCTATTTCCTTCTCTTTAAATTTAGAGTAGAATTCAATCTGAGCACAATCAACCTCTTATCTAAAGATACTGATACAATTTGTTTGTTTGGATGATTTTTGGTTATAGTTTTTGGATCGGTTTCTTAGGGGTAGAATAGCAGAGATTTAAAAGGATATTGGAGTGTGGTTTTCAACTTCCAGGTTGTACAGAAAAATGCAGCAACCATACTTCATTAAGTGGAGAAAATGTGCAAGGGTATGATACATTTCCATCAACCATACTTGTGTAAAAAGAGTTGGTGATTAGACAATTTAAACACTAAAATTACCTTACTACTCCAGATTAAATCATGGCCCTTCATTGGGATTTAAGTGATTTAATCTGGAGTGTACATTTGTCAGCCGTTGGAGTCTAACCCTTCATTTTCTTCTTCTTCCTTCTTCGATGCATACAAGACTTCTTGCTCAGGAACTCCTTGCTGCCTTCGACCCCTCGACTCTAGGAGCTGGTTAGCTTCCAACACTCCCTTCTAAACTGCTTCTAGGAGTCATTCCGAGCAAACCCCTCAGGTAATTAAATCTCTCATTCGGTAGTGCTTTTGTGAATATGTCTGCGATCTGATCTTCTGTGCTGCAATAAATTAGTCTAATTGTATTGTCCTGCAATGTTTCTCTGATGAAATGATATCTTCTCTTGATGTGCTTTGTTCTTTGATGGAAAACTGGGTTTTTGGTCATGGCAATTGCAGAGGTGTTGTCACACAAGAGTGGTGTGGCATCAACATGTAATTCACCAAAATCTTTGAGTATAAACCTTAGCCAAATAGCTTGAGCCGTTGCTTCTGATGCATTCACGTACTTCGCCTCGGCTGTGGATAGTGCAACACTTTGTTGCTTCATAGAGGCCCACAAAAACACCCCTGAACCAAAGGTGAAAGCGTAGCCCAATGTGCTTTTGCTATCATTTTCACTGCCACCCCAGTCACTGTCACAAAATCCAATTACGATAGTTGACTTCCCCATTTCATACTTGATTCCATAATCTAGTGTTGCTTGCACATATCTCAGCGCTCTCTTAGCTGTGCCCATATGTATCTTGCTAGGATTTTGCATAAACCTAGAAAGTAGGCTTGCTGAGAACATTAGATCTGGCCTTGTTGCAATTAAGTACAATAAATTGCCAACAATGCTTTTGTAGAGACTAGCATCTGCAGATTCACTTCCCTCATCCTTCTTAAGTTTCTCATTTGCAATTAGAGGTGTAGAGACCGGTTTGCAACCCTTCAAAACAAACTTTTCAAGCAAGGTTTCAACATACTTCCTTTGATGAATGAAAATGTTGTTTGCCTCTTGAATTACCCTAATGCCAAGAAAATGATGCAAGAGGCCAAGGTCAGTCATTTCATACCTCTTCATCATTTCTTCTTTAAACTCTTCAATCATTGCAGCATCATTTCCAGTGTAGACAACATCATCCACATAGATTGAGACAATGAGTGTCTTGTTGTTGCTTTTTGTCTTGGTGTAGAGTGTAGCTTCACTAGGACTTTTCTGAAATCCTTTTTCAGTGAAATAGGAATCAATCTCACTGTACCAAGCTCTTGGAGCTTGCTTTAGGCCATAGAGAGTCTTCCTTAACTTGTACACTTTTTCTGGAAACTCTTGACTTGTGAACCCTTGAGGTTGATCCACAAACACCTCCTCCTCTAGCATTTCATTTAGAAATGCAGATTTGACATCCAATTGATGTAACTTCCAACCCTTCTTGGCTGCTAGGGCTATCAAAGTCCTTATGGTGTCTAACCTTGCTACTGGAGCAAAGGTTTCATTGAAGTCTACACCTGGTTTCTGTGAGTAACCTTTGGCCACCAACGTGGCCTTGTTCTTTTGCACGGAACCATCTAAATTGAGTTTTGTTTTGTACACCCATTTCACTCCAATCACAGGTTTGTCACTTGATTGATTTACAAGTTCCCAAGTGTCACTGTTCTCTATCATTTCAAGCTCTTCCTTCATTGCTTTCTTCCAAGCTTTGTCTTTCTCAGCTTCTTCATATGTTTCTGGTTCTACTACATAGTAATTACATGTAGCATAAATCTCATCTAGGTTTCTCAATCTCACTAGAGTTGAACTTGGAGTTGTTATCTATGATTGACTTGATTGTGGACTCATACTAGCTTGTTGTGGAGCCCCTTGTATGTCATTATTATCTGTGACTTCTTCTTGAACTGAGGTCTCCATAAGCTCCCTTATTTGCCTTTTGTTGAGGACAAGTTGTAGAGAGACACTGTCATTTTCTTCTATCTTTGTTTCCCAGTTCCATTTTGAGTCTTCATCAAAGATAACATTCCTTGATAGGATTATCTTCTGAGTTAACACATTATAAACTCTATACCCTTTCTCACTGGTACCATAGCCTACAAAAACACCCTTGTTACTTGATTTCTCCAGCTTGTGCCTTAGTTGGTGAGGGATGAGAGTGTAACCCCCTGAGCCAAACACTCTCAAGTGCTTCACAGAGGGCTTCCTTCCACTGAACACTTCGAATGGTGTCTTCTTGTCCAGTGCTTTAGTAGGGCACCTATTCAATAGGTACACTGAGGTGTTCACAGCTTCACCCCAGAGTATATAAGGCATGTTCTTCTCATGCATCATAGACTTAGTCATTTCAACTATAGTCTTATTCTTCCTTTCTGCAATCTCATTCTGTTGTGGTGAATATGCCATAATGAGTTGCTTCTCCAACCCCACATCTTCATAGAATGCATTGAACTCATGTGAGGTGTACTCACCTCCCCTATCACTTCTTAGTTTTTTGATTTGGTATCCACTTTGTAATTCCACCATTGCCTTGAACTTCTTGAATATTGTGAATACCTCAGACTTGAATCTCATGAAATACAACCAACACATCCGTAAGTAGTCATTAATGAAGGTTAGGAAATACCTGTTTCCACTGATTGTTGTTGTTTGCATTGGTCCACACACATCTGTGTGAATCAATTCGAGTGGCTTTGTTGCCTTCTAAGCCTTGCCAACTTCAAATGGATCCCTGTGATGCTTCCCAAATGCACATCCTTCACAGATTTCATTGTAGTGATCCATTTTAGGTATCCCTTGTACCATTTCATACTTTTGTAGATTTTCTAGGCTTGTCATGTTTAAGTGACCAAACCTCTTGTGCCATAGTTTCATAGAACCTGTCACACTTGCTTTCCTTGTCGCTTCATCTAAGTACTTTAAGGGCTAGTTTGGTATTGCTGTGCTTTGAAAAAAAGCTGATTCTGCTGTGCTGTGAGAATAAGCAGCTGTGAAATAAAGCAGCAGAGTGTTTGGTAAACTTTTTTGTAAAAGTGCTTTTGAGAAAAAAAAAAAGCAGGATTATAGTGTTTAGTAAACTTTTATGTAAAACAGATGTGAAAAAAAACCAGTTTTTCAAAGCTAGCTTTTGCAGCTTCTTGTTTTTGGCTTTTTTTCACCCAAAACTGTGAAAAAAAGCTGAAGCTGAATGTTTACCAAACACAAAAATAGCTTCCAGCTTTTTTTGATACCAACTTTTTTCAGAATCACCTCAATACCAAACCAGGCCTAACACAAGTGGAAAGCTTCTGTTTTTCACTTCCACTTTGGTCACCAAATTTGATAGGGATCTGTCATCATAGATCTCAGCCACAGTTCCCCCAAAGAGTAGGAAATACCCATGCTCCATCATTTGACCCATACTAAGTAGATTTTCATCCAGTCATGGCCCTAGCATTACCTCCCTTATGCATCTTCTTCCTTTCTTGGTGTTGATAACCAGAGTTCCCCTTCCAGTGGCCTTGACAATGTTTCCATCTCCCATTTTCACTTTTCCAGTGAAGTTTCTGTCAATGTCAATGAGTAATGACTCGTGTGCAGTCATGTGATTGCTGCAGCCACTGTCAATGTACTACACTTCATTGTTTTTCTCCACTTTTGCACTGAAAGCACAAAACACATTTGCTTCTTCCTCCATTTGATTTGCGGAGTTTACTTGCTGCATATTCTTTGATCTGCAGTCTTTCATAATGTGCCCAAACCTGTTGCATTTGTGGCACCTAGACTTGTCTTTGAACCAACACTTTCCAAGATGAAATTTATCACAATGTTTGCATTATTGTTTGGTTCTTGGACCTGCATTAATGTTGTTGCCTTGGTTAGGTCTAGAGTTGTGACACCCTTTTCCCTCCCATTTCTTATTCTTGCCCTTCCACTGTGGTTTCTGATTGCTTGCGTTGACTTGACTACCAGATCCAACATTAAGTGATTGAAAGGCTTTCTCAGGTGCAAAATCAGCATGCCTCTCGAGTCTTTGGTCAAAGGCTCTTAAGGATGACATCACATCTTGCACACTGAGAGTTTCAGTGTCTTTGGTTTCTTCAATAACACTCACTATCGAATCATATGGTTTAGTCAAACTAATCAATAGTTTCTGGACAATTCTTTCATTAGGCAATTCTTCACCATATGTTTTCATCTTGTTTACAACATCAAACTGCCTAGTGAAGTAGTCTTTTAATAGCTCATTTTCCCTCATTCTTGTATACTCGAAATCTTTTCTAAGGGACTGAAGTTTTACCTTTCTGACTTTAGTGTCTCCTCTATACTCTTGTTGTAAAACTTCCCAAGCTCTCTTAGCAGTCTATTCATTTGCTATCCTCGGGAAAATGGTGTCTGAGACAGCACCTTGAATGATTCCAAGTGCTCTAGCGTCCTTCATTCGATCCTGCTTCAATGTTTTGAGTTGTGTTTTTGTGAGATCCTCCTCTAGAGCATCGATCTCCATCTTAGGTAGTTCATACCCGTGTTGAACCATATCCCATAGATCATAGGATTTGAAAATGGTTGTCATTCTTATTCTCCAAAAATCATAATTCTCCCCATCAAAGACTGGAGCTTTTAGCTCATTGCTACTGCTGGATCTCTTCATTTTTAGAATTGTTTGTTGGTTGTTGTTGTTGAGGACACTTCATTGGTGCTCCCAAAAGTTTTAACTTGCACAAATTACGCCCAAAAATTTTCCAGACCAGAAACTGAGCTCTGAGGCCATGATACAATTTGTTTGTTTGGATGATTTTTGGTTATAGTTTTTGGATCAGTTTCTTAGGGGTAGAATGGCAGAGAATTAAGAGGATATTGGAGTGTGGTTTTCAACTTCCAGGTTGTCCAGAAAAATGCAGCAACCATACTTCAGTAAGTAGAGAAAATGTGTAAAGGTATGGTACATTTCCATCACCCATACTTGTGTAAAAAGAGTTGGTGATTAGACAATATTTAAACACTAAAATTACCTTACTACTCCAGATTAAATCATGTCCCTTCATTGGGATTTAAGTGAATTAATCTGGAGTGTACATTTGTCACTCACACATTTAAACAAACAAAAAACTAGCCATTGGAGGGCAACCCTTCATTTTTTTTCTTCTTCCTTCTTCGATGCAGACAAGACCTTTTGCTCAGGAGCTCATTGCTGCCTTCAACCCCTCGACTCCAGGAGCTGGTTAGCTTCCAACAGATACTTGATAATGGTTTTAACTACTTTCGTTGCCATATTTTCTACATGAACGAACACAAATTAGTTTTCTCAAAATATTATCGATGTCCATTTGGAGAAGAACGTCACTGTCTTGTCATTGTGTATGGCATGCGTGCAAAGCAAACAATCACAAAACAATCTCCAAAACCTTCAAATTTTCCACGCAACGATCTATCACCAGGCTATGCTATGGTACCAATGATATGGACAAGGGAAATGCTAAAGAATTAATACAAAAGAAATACAAATTTGGAGTTTATGGAGGAGGAACCATGACTTCTTAATCTTGGGTTTATGAAGGAACTTGACCTCTAAATAATTCACATTATTTGGTTCAACAATTCTCTTACATTTTATTCAATAAACCCTACACCTTTATATAGGTGAAATTTACGACCAACCATGAAAATATAAGGAGTTTTAAGTGACCATATAGATCAACATAATCACATCAACTGGGTATTATATAAATGCGTATGAGAAGAAAATAACTATGAAGAAATCACGTATCAAAAAGTAGTTTAATTGTGCAGTTTACGCAGGTTTTATTATAAGAAACCAATCATGATGGTAGAATTTTGGTGGCAAGTGCGCAGGGTCGGCTTATGGGGTTTGCGAGGTGTGTGACCTCACAAGCCCCAATGAAACAAGGGACTCCGGCTGCCAAAAATTACAAAGAGGAATGAGAGGATATGCATGTGGGAGAAAGAAGATGCGTTGCCTTGGCCACACTTTGTATTTATTTTCATTTAATCATTATTTTTGTACAAAAAGGGCCTCTATATTCAGTAGAAAATTGACCTCTATAACCTGGAAAAACCTGTTCAAAGCAGGAAATGACTATTATACCTTTCTTTCTTACTTTTATTCCTTTCCTTATCTCATTTTCTCTCTCGTCCTTATTTAGGCCTAGTTTGGTACTGAGGTGGTTCTGAAAAAAAACTGGTATACAAAAAAGCTGGGAGCTGTTTTTGTGTTTGGTAAACATTCAGCTTCAGCTTTTTTTTCACAGTTTTGGGTGAAAAAAAGCCAAAAACAAGAAGCTGCAAAACCCAGCTTTGAAAAACCAGTTTTTTTTCACATCTGTTTTACATAAAAGTTTACCAAACACTATAATACTGTTTTTTTTTTTTTTTTTTTTCAAAAGAACTTTTAAAAAAAAGTTTACCAAACACTCTGCTGCTTTATTTCACAGCTGCTTATTCTCACACTACAGCAGAAACAACTTTTTTCAAAGCACAGCAATACCAAACCAGCCCTTACTCTATTATCGTGGCTTTCTCTCCATTCTCTCTATTCACTCTCTCCCGTCCTTCTTTCTCTTTAATGAAGAATAAGTCATTGGTGACTACGAGGATCACCAGATCCCAACTGTTCAGTCGATCAGCGACTGCTACATCGTAACTGGCACGATTCCTTCCAGAACCATCATCAGCCTCTAATGGCGGAGCCAACATGGGGTCATTGGTTGTTTTTGACCCCAATAACTCTAAAAATTCCAAACAGTTAAGGCAAACTAAATTACAACCCTTTCTTCCTACTTCTTCTATTTTCCTTATCATATGTGTCTTCCTTTTATCTCTCTTGTATGAAATACCTTAGTTGAAAAACCTTGGCAGTCTTCAACATTACTCCACTGTATATATCTTACATCCACCCTCGACAAGCCTCTACAAATAATAGTAGTTGACGACAAATGTTGGCATAAACTTTCGGCAGATGTTGACAGGGATTGGCATGTGTCTACTAGGTACTCGATGTAATGGCCCAATTAAGCTTTTTGATTCATATTATGACCCCATTACTTGAAAATCATGGCTACGCCACTGATAACCTCCATGAGATAATGAAGTGGATGGTGGCGGCGGTGGGGTTTGAGAAGGAGTGATTGCACATGTGTATAAATTGTTAGGAGAACTAGGTAATAGAAACTGCAATGCAACGTTTGAATCAAAATATAAAAAGCTGAACCAGGAAACCAACTTGCAACGTAAAGAAGTCTGAATCCAAATACAAAAAAAATAGGAGTTGCAAGAGGTGTGAAGCTTTAGAGGCGTGTGAATGATAAAAAAATAGAACCATGAAACAAACACTGCAACTTAGCGCCTGAATCCAATAGTAAAAAATAGAACTAGGAAATGGACACTACGTTGCACTATATGGATTCATATTGACCTATTCCAAAATAAAAAAAATACGAAAAAGAGGTGTTAGTTGAAGTGAGTGCTAGCTATAGTGACAAATTTTGTAATTTTTGTTTTATTTTAAAAGCATTTAGTTTCACAATATATGATTAACTTATTTATAATTAACATAAATATTATTTATATATTGTTAATATTGTAACTTTTTATTGATTTTATACAAAATCACCCTACATCTGAAGGCCCCTTAATAAAATGAACAACAATGCTACTTTTACTCTTAAAATGAAATGAAATTTTGGTTGATACTTGTGCTTTCTGAATATTTGGACGAAGATCCAACAGCTTCACGAAACACAAAGTGCGCCCTAAGACCATCTTCAACCCTTGGGTTAAAACCTAAAATTTTTGGAAAAATTTTAGGTTTTAACCCAGAAATAGTTTTTATACTCGAACCCTTATGGATTAAATGTTTAGCCCAAGATTTGTAAAGAATGAATGCATGATAATTTTTTTTCTTAAAGTAACTTTAAAAAAAAAAAAAATTATGTAGGCTATCCTAATTTAATTTTATGAACATTTTAACCTAACAATATTTAGATTTCGATAAATTTTGGAAAATCTCTAAACCAACACCATGAAACTTCTGGAACACTATGAAAGAACAAGAAACATATGAAATAATTTTCTTTTAATTACTTTAGCCGTTGGATTTAAATTTGAACCTTTAGATCTTTGTTTTTACTATTGAATTTGATCATATTAGATTTTACTCGTTGAATTCAATGAATTTATAAATATAAAACTAAAAAAAAAAAATACACATATACGGTGAGTCAACCCACTAATTCAGAGTGAATCATGGGCTAAATTTACCTCAAAAAATGAGTTTTGGGTTGGAGCAAGTTGAGAAATGTTTAAAACCTAAAATTTAAATTTTACCACAAGAGTTAGAGCAGTCTCAAAATTCTAATTTAAAAACAATTTCTAAACAAATTAGCCCAAAAATTCTACCGCTCAAACATATCCGATCTCGACCGTCCATATAACCTCCCAAAAATCAAACCGCTCCACGTCAGCGATCTGCTTCTCACAAACCCAACCAATCAAACCTCACCGCCTTCCCTTGTATATACAGAGCCCCAAGCTAAACGCCTTTCATTCACTCACGACCTTCGTCCGAAAACGCTCTGTATTTCCCCGTTTTCTGCAAACCCCAATTTTTTTCGAGAATCTGACACCAATGGCTCCAAAGGCAGAGAAGAAGCCGGCCGAGAAAGCCCCCGCTGAGAAAAAGCCCCGCGCCGAGAAGAAGCTCCCGAAGGAAGCCGCCGTCGCCGGCGATAAGAAGAAGAAGAGATCGAAGAAGAGCGTGGAGACGTACAAGATCTACATCTTCAAGGTCCTGAAGCAGGTCCACCCTGACATTGGGATCTCCAGCAAAGCCATGGGGATCATGAACAGCTTCATCAACGACATCTTCGAGAAGCTCGCCCAGGAGTCGTCGCGGCTCGCGAGGTACAACAAGAAGCCGACGATCACTTCTCGAGAGATACAGACAGCGGTGCGTTTGGTGCTACCCGGTGAACTTGCTAAGCACGCCGTCTCTGAGGGGACTAAGGCGGTGACCAAATTTACTAGCTCTTAGGGTTGTGTAAGGGTGTTTTGGGAAATGGGTATTTGGGGTTTGGGATGGATTTAGGGTTTTTAAGGTGTAAAGTTTGAAATTGGGATGGGGATCTTGAATGATTAGGGTTATATGGTATTTTGCTTATTGATTTCTTGATAGAATGGAAGATTTTATCTTTTATTTAATTTGATTTTTGTTTAATTTTGGTAGATGATAATTAGTAATATTAACACATACTTGAGCGATGAATTCTTTTTTGAAAATTAATAAACGAAGAGTTGGTTTTGAATACTTCACACTGATGAGCTGTGAGATGGACGGTGGAGATGGTGCAAGTAGACACTTTTTCAGTGAGATTTTCGTTGGAGATTGTATATGAAGTGTTGCAAGTTTTCATGGCGGTAAAATTATAAAGAGCGTGAAACAGGACTTGAACTGTTACCCTGGATTTTGACCCTACATTAGATATAGGGTGATTGTGTAGAGGAGTGTCGAGACAATTTATATGGAACGGGTGTATAATAGAAAATCACAGATGACATTAGTTAAGAGAAAAATTAAGATTAATCTAATGGCATTACACTGTTGGAAGAGCATTTTCTCGCGAAATAGCAATAGAGCTTTTCCAAACATTTGTAATTCGTGGTTTAATTAGACAAAGGCATTATGATTTATGCCATTCCACTTAGCATGAGAAGACCCCCGGATAGGTTAATATGGCATTATGATTTATGATCGAAGGGGTATGTTTTCTGTTAAGAGTGCTTACAAAGTGGCACGCGAAAGTTGTATGCCGGTGGCTTTGCAGGCCTCTTCTTCTTGTGGAGGGAGTGCTTATCAAGGGCTTTGGCAAGCTATATGGAGGGCAAGGGTACCACCCAAGGTTAAAATGTGAGGGTGGCGAATTTGCTCTGACATCCTTCCTACTAGGGCTAATCTGTTGCAAAAAGGAGGGCGGCTTGTTGTGTCTTGTCCTCGGTGCGATGCTCCCGTCGTGTCGGCCAGTCATGTATTCAAGGAGTGTTCTTTTGCTTGTGCCGTTTGGAGCGCCTCCCCAACGGGTTAGATTTGGGGTGTTTTCCCAGGGGAATTGCCCAAGGATTGGCTGCTTTGGGTTGTGGAGGAGCGAGGGGTGGATTTCGATATCGTGTTAATGTTGCTCTGGACCTTATGGACGGAGAGAAAAAGGTGGTTCGGGAGGGGACTTCTGCTGACCCGTTGGAGGTGGTGCAAAGGGGGTTGTGTTGGCTGCAGGACTTCCAGGTTACTAAAGCAGCCCCACTATCGTAAAACAGCCGCAACAGCAGAAGTGGATGGCACCTAGTGATGGCTGGTTCAAATTGAACGTTGATGGTGCGGCGAGACTGGAGTTGGGTGAAGGTGGCGGGGGAGCTGTTCTGCGTGGTGGTGCTGGCATCTTCCGTGCAGCAGGAGTGTGGCGATTCCAAGGAATTGACTCCGTTAAACAAGCAGAGTTCTTAGTGATCAGAGTCGGTTTGCAACTCGCTTTTCGTGCTGGATGTTGGTTAGTCCAGGTAGAAACGGATTCATTGGAGGCTGTTGAAGCCTGCAAGGGAGGAAGCGTGGATTATTCAAGTCTTGGTTTCATTCTTTCTGATATCTGGGAACTTTTAGCTAAGTTTGTTGAGTGTTCCATTAAGTATATTCCTCGTTAGTGTAATGGCGAGGCTCATTGCCATGCTAAGTTTATTTAGTCGTGACTCTGCAAACCTGGTTTGAGGAACCCCCAAATGTTATAAGGGTGGTGCTCAACCAAGATTTACAACCCTATTGAGGTATTAGTAACAAAGTTATCGCATATTCATAAAAAAATAAATAAAAAAATAAATAAAAAATAAATAAATAAAACGGTTCTAAGAGACAACAAAGCGACAAATCCATTACATGGAGCATTCTTACGGGTCAAAATATTCTTATACAAATCGACCATCCTCTTAGACTTTATTTACTTATCCCCATTAAGCAAGGTCCCCTTACAACTAGTTATAACGTTAAGCAAGTTCAAGAAAGAGCAGTGAGAAACACAAGGAAATGATAAACACACACTCAATTTCTGCTCCTACACACTCCGGTTTATTCTTGTCCTTATTTTCGTTTGATTGATTTAATCCGGTGGTTAGAAATGAAGGAGGGGGTGTGAAAATCAATTTTTGAAACATACTGTACATACACAAATTCTCTTTTTAAAGGAACTGCTAATATGGTCTCAATAACGTCATATCGTATCAAAGTTTGCAAGATCCGTTATTTGATAAAGACAGACGTCTTGTACAGAGAATTTTTGTACATCACATTACCATGAGATCTAGTTCTATGCAGATCAAGTGACCAAAATGAACCATGAAACTAAGCTTGCATCTTGTACTGCTTACTGACACCTTTCAGTTACATTCAGCATCGTCATATTTCATTACTCACTCGTGTTGGGCGGTTGTACGCAAATATCAGTAAACATCAATTCTGAGCCATGTTCATATGCAGAAGTTCACCACCAAACCAACATAATTGTCTGTAGGAAGTGAGGACGCAATAAACTCATTCAATACGAGTAGGCGGGATAAACCCTCTAAACACGTCTGAAAAACTTACTAATCTGAGACTAGGAAATCCCAGCCCATACTATTTAGCATTCCACATAAATTATGCTAAAAAATAAAGGTATAAACAGCATACAGAAAACGAAATGAAATTAAAATAAATTATAGAATGGATTAAGACACCTATGTCTAGATCTCGGATAAATGGAAATTTTATTGATTTTCACCTCATACGGCTCCTCGTTCATTTCTTTTGAAGTCATTGGATACTTTTCCTGAAAGGCTCTAGAAAGATATCTTCCTTCAGCAAAAAGAGAATGAATGTTCGTTTGATCTTGATTTTTTTCACCCAATTAAAGAAATTACTACTTCTCTTTGAACTTTTATGATTTTTCTTCATGAATCTGAAATGAGATTATGAGGCTTACAGTGAAAATAGAAACGGAAACGAAAAATAGTAATACTAGTAATATTGGTTTACAACGAACATGAGAAGAATCTTAGACCTCTATATATCATTTTGATGTTGTAGATCAAGAGAGACCTTCTTGGTCCAAAATACAGACAAGTCCATTCATCTGGAGTAGCAAATTCCAAAATGATTCAACTCAGGTATAATGCACGCTAGTGTTTACTCAAAGTTATTCCCGAGAAAAGATATCATACCGTGATGATCACTTCTTCGGGTAGGTCTGGTAGTCAGGTCCAACGTCACGAGAACCAGTGTTTATATAAGGCCCTCGAAATGTTGCCTGGGGTGATAGTGGCTTTGATGGGTCAATGACAGGCTTTGGCGATGACCTGCATAACATAAAATCACATGATTCTAACTTTCTCCTCATGAATCAATTAACATAAACCTATATTGTGTATTAACCATCCTTGAAATGAGAATATACTTACGCCATGTAAAAGGGAAATGCCAAGCCTGCAGCTGCGAAAATTACCAAGCCAGTAGCAACAATTGCATTCCGTGACCGGGCCATGGAGAGTATGCAGGAAACTAAATATGAAGTAAACAAGGAACATAACTGTTAATTCAGATGGATTCTTGTTTGAAAATTAAGTGAGTACGAAACTAACTATTTGGCATACTCCAAGTGAACAAATTGCCACGAAAATTCCAGACCAGTATCAAAGTGAGAACAAACATCTAGTTTATTTTCATCACCAACGAACACACCATGTTTAAACGAAATGTTCAGTCGACTGTAAATTTGGACAAGGAAATGCTCAACTGATAAAACAGATTGGCTTCCAACGGTAAAATGCTAGCTTGGCCAATGTTTGTAAACATGGTAAATTTGGGGTATGCCTATGTGTAAATTTATCCAGCAGCTAAGCATTATATATGCCTACCTAACCTCCAAACTATAAGAAAGCTACAAATATCCTACTTTCAGCTCAAACACTAAAACTTATGTTCAGATCCTACTAAACAAAGGAAAAGATACATTTCAGTTTCATCTAGTTGGCAGTTAGAATGCACAAACATTGCACATAATCCCACTAGGACTGATCGTAAACCTAACCAAGATTACAACAAACAGATCCGTCATCAATGCCTAGCTCTATAATTACCAAAAGTTGTCTCCACGAAGACCGATGCACACATTTCAGTATACTAACAGTCACATGAATACTGATTGTTTAAACACCATTCACACTCAAATTGCTTAAAGAATTCCAACTCACACTGACCAAGCAAAGATAACCAAAAGGAAGACGATCGGAGACTTCAGAATTCAGAATAATGGTATTCCGAAAAGAATCTAGGATTACTGGTATAGTCAATAAGCTAAAGAAACAGTCTACAACTTCCCCGACTAATGTAATGTCGAAAAGAGCCCCATACGTCTCCGAAAGGAGTTATATCACACAGAACAACTTCCAACTATAATTCTCCACAGATTTTCAGATTTCTTGGATCGTGAATAAACCCTCCAACTCACATTAGAAATTGAAAGGCTTGACAAGCCTCAATTTTCACAACAAAGAATGAACACATCCATCATTCTGTTAATCATGGATTTAATTTTTCCGCACATTTTGATCCCAACAGATATTTAGCCATTCACAAACAAAAAAAAAAGAACAAATTTTTAAATATATTGGGTAATATTAACCAAAATTCAATACAATCATATATAAAAAAAAAAAAAATGGAAGAAAAACCCTAATTTTAAACAAATTGAATGAAGAAATGAATTGGGGGAAATACATGGGTTTCAATCGAAGTTTTCAAACAAGAAATAACAGAGAATTTTTGAAGCACCTGAGTCACTTCCGACTGACGCCGATTGCTGATGAAAGAAGTAATAACTCGCCGAGTGCTCTGACTCTGTTTAAGACCCGGGCTTTAGCAAAGTAGAAGACAACGTTGGGTAGGTATTTGGGCTAATGCCTAAAAATGTGGGGCTAAACGAAACAACTGAATAAATTTGGGCCATAAAATTAAGTCCAATTGTGGCATTTGGCAAACGAGAAATAATTTTTGCACATTTGTTTTTTCAGTATGCATTTTTGTCTCTCGATGTTTTTGTATCATTAGAAAGATCCTCCAATAATTTATATCATTCCTTCTACTGATGAAGAACTTGTTCCTATTTCGAAGATGTTTTCAACTATTTAAACAGTCTATATTTTAATTCATAATTCTTATATTATTCTTATAAAAAACTAGATACATTCAAAATTATTTGGACATCAGATGTTGTAAAGGGAAGTAGACGAACAATGTGCCTTGAAAAGACATTACAATGATCACGGTGGGTTTGGAGGGGCTTTCACTATATGGATCTAGATAGCATGTCGTGTCATAGATGGTCCGAAGAACATTCCACACCTCCATAAATATGATGTTTTTAACTTAAGAAAGTTAATGACATCCTTAACAAATATATCTTGTATATATTATACTTTAAAAAAAAATATGAGGTTTGAGTTAAGCCACACGAATTCAGTTAAATCAAATTTCAAACATCTTCCTTACAAGTACAAAAGAATACCGGACTAGACTGCAGTGATAGTTGTTGATAGACAACTGTTTTAAAATTTACAAAAATCAGTGGGTAACGTTTGTAGTTTACATTTTTCGGAGAGGCCAAAATGATAAAACACATTTTGTGCCGGTCTCTGGAACATAACAGAGGCAGATGCCGAAAGAGATAAGATAGTAGAGTCCCATAAATCCTGAGTCTCTGCGTGAGAGGAAGTGAGAGAGAGAGTGTGAGCGTGAGTAAGAGGAAAGGAGCTACAATGGCATCCGCAGCATCGACTCTGTCATGGAGTTCTTCCTCGTGGCTTCAAAGCTTTGCCGGAAACACAAACGAAGCCACTAAATTGTCAGATAGAAGAACGGGATTGGTGGTTATCGCTCAGAAGAAAGCAAAGAAGGCTCGAACGGTAAATTTGAGAAATGGGTTCTCTTCTTATACTCCAGTGCTTCAATGTTTACCCAAAAGTTCAAATTTTTATAGTTTCTCTGCTTCCAGAATTCGTAAATGAAGAACCCACCTCAATTTTGTGTTCCATTTTCTTTTATTCTTACTAATTCAAAGTGTAATAGTGAATTTGAATGTAGTCTTATTGTGGGGTTGTTTAATTTAATTGTTTTTGTTGGAATGTTTCAGATAATTCTAAAGGAGGACATAACTGATCTGGGAAAGAAAGGGCAACTTCTAAGTGTGAAAGCTGGTTACTACAGGAATTATCTGCTGCCATTGGGGAAAGCCCAGATTGTCACTCCCCTGCTGCTCAAGTAATGCATAAATTCAACTTTTTTATTCGATTTTTGTCACATTTTCGATTTTCAAGTGTACGATAAAGCTTGTGAATCTGTTGCATTGTGCTTACGGAGTCGAACTTGTTTGATGACAAGAAGTTTTAGTTGGAATCCATAAGATAGGACTTATGCAGAATGTTGACGGAATTGATCAGATAATGTATGAGATGGATAGAGGAGGCATATACAATACAAGTTGTGAAAGTAATGTATGAAATGTTGATTGGTGTTTGTGGTGGTGAGACTTGATTATCGTTACTCAACTGCTCTCAAATGTAAATAGCCTTTAGAGTATACTACTAACTCTGAAATTCTTTCGTAATAAATCCACAAAAATTTTAAGTGGTCAACCTATTTGTATACCTCGAGATTGGATCCATACTCATATTTGTTATCAATGTGAGGTACTAATAGTAATACTTCTCAAGTTGTCTGCATCAAAATGTGAACTTTTATTTGCATAACTATTATGCTTTTTAGTTGCTTCTGCTAATTAATTGGAAACATCTCAGTCTTTGACATTCACACTATGGATTTTTCGGGAAAAATGATTATATCTTAAGAACATGTTACTCATAATTTTAATTGTTCTTTCCAGGGAAATGAAGGTGGAAGAGGAAAGGATTGAGGCAGAGAAAATACGGGTATTTAGATAGAACATTTATTTGTCTCCTTTTGCGTTGGGGCTGTACAGATGTTATTGTAACTCAAATCGTAACTATGACTTGGATGTACCCTGTCTCAGTGCCACCTGTCAGTTTTCCGTTCCATGTCTCTATACATCATGGTAACCCCTATGCACATATCATTCATTAAGGCTCAGGTTTTGGGGCTTTGGACATATCATGCCATCCTAAGCTGCCTTGAAGAGCATGTGCTGCTTATAAAATGATGCTACTTCTAGCTATCCCTTGTCAAGTCATGGGAAAGACAGCAAAGCTGCTTGTCACAAATAGAGTGTACCTGGAGAATACCTTTGTATCTTTAAGTGGATTAATGAGCGCTACAAAATGCAAATAATTACATTCTATGTGGCGTTGAATACCCAAAAAAATTCTGAGCGGACTTATTGCCTCTCTTGGTTGTAGATTCTATAGTGTCTGAATTCGTTCTAACAATTATGTCTTGTAAGATTGTTTCATCTTGGTGCAGGTAAAAGAAGAGGCAGAGCAACTTGCTCAGATTTTTGAAACTGTTGGAGGTTTCAAGGTGAAGCGCAAAGGTGGAAAAGGGAAGTTAATTTTTGGAAGGTGAGTTGCTTTCAGTGCAATGTTAAGTACTTCGTGCACTGTCTGCGTATGAATTTTAACAGACATGTTTCTGCAGTGTGACACCCCAAGATCTCGTTGACATAATCAAGGCACAACTTAACAGGTTAGTATCTTTTATCAAGTAAGAGTATGATCAATATACCAATCACAATTTTCCCACGAGCACTGTTATTGTCATCGTGAATTTTTTATGCATGACATATACCAGATGAGCTTCTTAACACAAGCATCAATAATTTTAAACTGCAACTACCCCCGAAATAACTAACAAAAGAAACAAAAAAGAAGAGGGAAAAGAAACAAGAAGGATATATGTGTATGCTGTTCCTACCAATGCATTTGATTAAAGCTTTAGGAACTTCCAGATAATACCTTCAAACATATTCCTGGAACACAACTTTTCCAAACAGTGAAAGCTTGTGATGATTTATTGTATGTTCATGCATTTTGCAGTTTAAGAGCTTGCGATAATCATATGCATATGGATAGCAGATATTGTGATATTTTGCAGTTAAAACCTTTCATGCTCGTGTTTGTATTTTTGTCTTTGCCAAATACACCCATGCTTGACTGACACTCTATTCTCTGCTCTTTCGTTCATGTGTAGGGAAGTGGACAAGCGCATTGTTTCTCTTCCAGATATTCGAGAGATAGGAGAATATATTGCAGAACTGAAGCTTCACCCAGAAGTCACTGCTAAAGTGCGAGTCATCGTTTCGGCTAACTAGGGATAAGCATCTCCTGGAGTTATCTTCGAGGACCCATGGGAGCGGAGAAGATGAATTTTTTATGTGTTTGTGCAGGATGTACATGGCCAAAGTATGATCATCATCTATTTCATATAGGGCACAAATTGGAAGGTGGCTGCAATGTAATTTAATGAAAGTAGAGATGTATAAATCTGATTTTCCTGCCAATTTATTTTTAGCTTTCATTACTTTGATTAGATACCACTTTTTTTGTAAGTATTATTTGTTTCTTGTGATGCATGTGATGAATTACTTTGGTAAATTTTGGTACTTCAATTGTCACCCCAAGAAGTCCCAAGATTTGGGTAAATAATTCTTTAATCTTCTATTCTTTTGGTAAAAATGCTTATGGGAATGTCATTGCAGGCTCAACTTTGCATTTTATTTGAATGTTCCAAACCGTCTAGTGGTTTTTTATTTTATTTTATTTTTTTAAATCATCTTAAAAAAAAAAAAAAAACTCAAATCTGAAAACGTTTAAACCACTCAATAAAATAGTTGTTATTTAAGTGGTTTCTTGAACTAACGTTTTCGGCTATCTGTTTTACCACTTCTGAATTGTCCAATTTTTCACAATATTGATCTAGGAAAAAAAGCTTGAAAAATAAATAATTTGGATCATTAAAATAAAATTTAAGAGTGCGATCAGGTATCTTTGAAAGATATTGTGCATACACAATTTCTCTTTTTCAGAGAACTGCTAATATGGTCTCATTAATATGTCAATATCACATCGCTGACGAGAAGGGACCTGGCTTCTTTACCTTTCCCGTTTTCATACATTCGCATTCCTTCTTATTTGTATGATTACAGTTAAGTTACATTATATTAATATTATTTTTTATCTTATTATTTCTATAAAAAAAATTAATATAGAATGTTAACGTGACTTTAATCGTGATTGCACAAAATAAGAACGGATGAAAGTATATGAGAACTGAAAGGACAGAAGCCGGGTCCAACAAGGAGTGCTCTTTCCTTTTTCTTTTCATCTCAGCCACTAGTGGCCGACCAAGACTTACAGAAACGCTTTTTGGGTCTATGCATGTGAACGACCCATTTTATAATTGTTGATAAATTTTCCTGAGAGTAGATAGGAATGACCCAATTAAATACTTTCCCTGCACACAGACACTTGCAATGCAGCCAGCAAAGAGCTGTTTGTCCATCGATCCACATCAATGGCTCTTGTGAGAACATCTCCAGGAACCTCCTCTGATTCCAACTCTTTTCGGGGTTACCGGTACGACGTGTTCTTGAGCTTCAGAGGTGAAGACACTCGCAAGACTTTTACCGATCATCTCTACACAGCTTTGAACAACGCAGGATTTCTCACGTTCCGAGACGACGATGAACTTGAGAGAGGAGAAGATATAAGGCCAGGACTGCAGAAAGCGATCCAGCTGTCACGAGCTTCTGTTGTCGTGTTTTCGAAAGATTACGCGTCATCCAAATGGTGCCTTGATGAGCTTGTGCTGATCCTTGAACGCAAGAGGACCACCTCGGACCATGTAGTTTTACCAGTCTTCTACGATGTCGATCCGTCCCACTTGAGGAAGCAGACGGGAAGTGTTGGAAAAGCATTTGCTAGACACGAGAAAACACAGTCGCCGAAAAAGGTGAAGGGATGGAGGGAGGCAGTTGCAGAGGCTGCAGATCTAGCAGGCATGGTCTTACAAAATCAAGCTGATGGGTAACTTTCATTTTCTCCATTTCTCTCCTCTTTCTTGAGTCAATTTGGTAATATGATCCGTAGGGACCTTGATTTATATTAATCAATCTCAGAAGTGAATAATAATCCCAATTTAAAGAAATCACATTTTCCATGGTAGTCTACATGAAGGACCTAAGACAACAAAAGTTAACAAAAACTCTCAATTTTTGTCTAGAATCTTATCTGAAAGAAAATCGAATCATTGTTAAAACTTGGATTCGAATCAGAACATTGATTCAGAGCTCTAACAATCCAAAATAATCACAAAGCGAACGATTTCTCGGATAACGAACATATAGACAGCACAAGGCATTGCGTCAGAGAAATTTTTATCATGCTTACTCTAAAATTAGACAGAAATTCAGATTAACACTTATAATCAAATGAGAATAACTCTAAAATTAAACCAGCATATCCCTCTCTCTCTCTCTCTCTCCACCTTATGTCTTTTAATTCTTTTTACTAATACAGGTCCACTATCCACTTAAAGCCACTTATCCCCTTGGAACCCAAAATGTTGGCAGCTGTCCCTCAGGTGAAATCTTAAGTGCGTGGCTCTACTCCACTTAAAACTTAATAATTGTTTAGTTGTAATAACCACAAGTGCTAAAAAACATATTAAAACACATATAACATATCAAACACTAGAGGTAAGATCTACCACTTTAGTTCATCAAAACAAACAAAAAAAGCCTAACACTTTCCACTTTAGTGTCATTAAGATGGTTTATTACACATGACATGTTTGATTTATATTTCATTTTGTTTGCAAATTCTTAGGTACGAATCAAAGTTTATCAAAAAAATTGTTAAAATGATTGGAGGCAAGTTAAGTCGCACACCATTGAGTCTTGAACCAAAATTGATTGGAATCAAATCTCAAGTCAAACACATCAATTTGTGGTTACAAGATGGATCAAGTGATGTTGGTATACTTGTTTTGTATGGCATGTCAGGCATAGGGAAGACAACCATTGCAAAACATGTTTACAATTCAAATTTTAGAAGCTTTGAAGGAAGTAGTTTCATTGAAAATATCAAAGCAAGAGCAGATCAACCAAATGGCTTAGTTCAAATACAAATGCAACTTCTTTATGATATTTTGATCGGTAGAAAAGTGAAAATACAGACTGTTAGTGAGGGAATAATTAAGATTGAAAGCGCCATAAGCTCTAAAAAAGTTCTACTTGTTCTTGATGATGTGGACCATGTGGACCAATTAGATGCAGTACTAAAAATGAAAGATCGGTTTTATCCCGGAAGTAAGATACTTATAACAACTAGGCGTGAAAGATTGCTAAGAGTGCATCAAGTTACAAAGGTGTACAAAGTTGAAACTTTGAATTACAATGAATCACTAGAGCTTTTTAGTTGGCATGCATTTGGCCAGGACCGTCCCATAGAAGAGTACATGGAGCATTCAAAAATGGTAGTGCGACATAGCGGCGGACTTCCATTAGCTCTTCAAGTTTTGGGTTCTTCTTTATCAGGGGAAAGCATAGGTGTATGGGAAAGTGCCTTGGAGAAGCTAAAGGTTATTCCTAATGGTGAAATCATGAATAAACTAAGAATAAGCTATGACAATTTACAAGATGACCATGACCGGAAATTATTCCTCCACATTGCTTGTTTCCTAATAAAAAGGAACAAAAACTACATTGTTAAGATACTCGATGGATGTGATTTCTATACAATTGTTGGCATTCAAAATCTCATTGATAGATGCTTGGTGACAATTGATAAATACGGCAAGGTGAATATGCATGACATGATTCGTGACATGGGGAGAGAAATTGTTCGCCGTGAATCAGAAGAGCCTGAGAAACGTAGTAGATTATGGCGCCATAAGGATTCTTTCCAAGTATTGAGGGACAAGAATGTAAGAAACATGCCTTTAATGTCTATAAATGTATTTCTTCTTGTGAAAATTATCCATACTAACGTTTCCATTTTTTCCTTTAGGGTACAAAAAAAATCCAAGGTATTTTCCTGAATATGTATATGCATCCTGCACACAGTCCAATAAACACAAATGAGACAGTCTTGGAAACCAATGCATTTGAAAAGATGCGCAAATTACAGCTACTACATCTTAGTCATGTACGACTGGATGGATGTTATGCAGATTTCCCTACAGGATTAAGATGGTTATGTTGGCTTCATTTTCCATTGGATTCTATACCTATTGATTTTCCTTTGGGGTGTCTAATTGTTCTTGACATGCAATATAGTAGCTTGAGACAAGTCTGGAAAGGAACAAAAGTATGTTACTCTACACATTTCAATTCAGGGTTCTTTTTTTTTTTTTTTTAATTAATTAATTTATTTATTTATTTTGACCAATTGCATGATACACATTTTTTTTTCTTTCTTTTTTTATTTTTTTATTTTACACAGTTTCTTCCAATGTTGAAGATCCTTGACGTCAGCCATTCCCATGCCCTCACTGAAATCATGGACTTCTCACTTTGCCCTAGTCTAGAAGAACTGATTCTTGTAGATTGCACAAGCCTGATTGATGTTCATGAATCCATTGGAAAACTGGAGAGACTTGTGTACTTAAACGTGAAGGATTGCAAGAAGCTTAGGATGCTTCCGAAAAACATGTGCATGCTTAAATCACTTGAAACACTCATTTTATCTGGTTGCTCAAATCTTGATGAGTTTCCAGTGGAGATGATGAAGAAAATGAAGTCTCTGAAGGTTCTTGAAATAGATGAAATTCCATTAAGTGAATTATGGCCAGAAAGAAGTTCAAGTATCTTGAGTTCTTTTCCATGCTCTTTAGTAGAGTTGAATCTCAGTAGGTGCAATCTTTCTGAAGATGTCTTTCCTACGGATTTAAGTAATCTATCCTCAATACAAAGACTATATCTAGATGAGAATCCAATTTGTAGCCTACCAGTTTTCATCAAAGGTTTGAGGAGGATCGATGAACTCTCTTTTATAAATTGTAAGAAGCTCGAATCACTTGTGGGGTTGCCTAGAGTACACAAAGAGATGGTTGTAGCCAATTGCATATCATTGAAAAAAGTAACATATCAATCGTTTGGGGGGCTCCAACTACGGGCCCTTGGGAATGACAACAACAACATAGTTGAGTGGGAGTACCTTTTCAAGTTAGAGTCTATTGATAGAGTTGATGTGGAAATGATCAAACTTTTGGGCTTGTTCAACTTGGAATCCATGCCTGCAATTCGAATGAAAAGCACACTACGAGGCTTGAATTCAGAACAGGATAGATGGAGTCCCGTCCAGGTGCGCCTCTCCCTCTCTCTCTCTCTCATAAGTCATATATATATATATATATATATGTGTGTGTGTGTGTGTGTGTGTATGTATGTATATATATGTATGTATGTATGTATACAGGGCTTTTAAGGAAAGGAATCTCCATTTTTTAAAAAAAATAGGGACACCCTTTTAACCATTAGATTTGACTTTAATGAAATTCTATGGTTGAGATTAAATCATAGGCCACATAATCTCAACCACAGAATTTCATTAAAGTCAAATCTAACGGTCAAGAGGATGTCTCTATTTTTTTTGAAAAATGGGGATCTCTTCACTAGGCTTCCTATATGTATATATATAATGAGAAATAAATGACTTAGTAATGTTGTGATGATCATGGAAAATGCATAGGGACTGTATCAATATGGTATATTCAGCACATTTTTTATTGGGAATGAGGTTCCAGGCCGGTTCAGCTATAAAAGTACCAAGTCCTCCATATCTTTTAGTGTCCCTTTACTCCCTTCTAGTCACAGAATCCGAGGCTTGAACATCTTTGCTACCTATGCAAACGAGGAGAATTCTAATTATAATTATGAGAATTCTGATAAACCTCCAATGATAATCAAAGTGAGTAACCAGAGCAAGGGTTTGACGTGGATCTATTGCCCACACTTCCACGGTATTCTAGAAGAGGGAGAAGATATGATATGGTTGAGTCATTGGAAGATGGAAAACGAAACAATATTACAATGTGGAGATCAAGTGGTGGTTTCAGTAATCGCCGGACCTGCTAAGTTGTTTCGGATAAAGGAGTTTGGTGTCGAGCTTATGCAAGAGCACCAGAATAATATGATGATAAGTACCCAACACAACACCAAATTAGATCCTAATTATCCATGTGTCATCGGTGGAGATTTGTCCATGTGGGAGCATATACCAGGAATATACTTCCTCGGTTTCAGTAAAAACTATGTTGAAGACACTGATATCTTTCCGCGGAGATTTTTAAATCCCCTCATCATGGACACCGATGAAGAAGACACAGGTATGCTATGTCGTTGTATTGCAATGAATTATACTTCATCCAAACACTTCCGTCTGCATTGATTTCAAAAGCATAAATTTTATGTTATTGGTATGTTTTTCAGACAAAGAAGGGCAAGAGGATGAACGTAATTACAATATTGCAAGGACGAGGGCTGCCAGTAACAATTACGGCCTCAGAAGCTGGAAGGTGCTCCTCACAGCTGCCGGCTTATTTTTCATGCTGGCTCTAGTAGTTCTGTCCTCCATCTCCCAGAAAAAGAAGCGACAGTAGTCCACAAGCCATCCATGAGTTTGTAATTTTACTTGATACAGACATATCTTTGGATTCCCTCCTTGTTTTTAAGATGTTTTCTGCCTTCAAAATATCGAAGTTCAAATGTGTTCATCATCAAATATTGCATAAATATAGCATAAAATACATCCAACGTTAGCGATACTTAAAAAGTTTTTCTTCCCTGCCACTGATTGCATACAATCTCGTACCAGAGACGATAAACAGGTGGTTGTATACTAGCAGTAAATAATTGAAAAAAAAAAAAAAATATATGATTCTAAACATACAAAGGAAGGATATTGACGTAGGTATCTTTAGCAATGCCAGGCAAAAATCAATTCTTTGAACTGGGGGAAAATATTTTGGCACCGGGGAAGGCAAAAACATCCTATCTGCGTATAAATGCCAACAAATTGACAGATGGTAATTGTCATTTACAACAAAATCATGCTTCCTAAAGACTGGGCTCCCATTGAAAAATTGTGTAAATTACATAAATATCAGTACAATACATATTAGATTGACTAATATATCAAATAAATTAACAGCAGACAATTTCTTAGCCTGAGATCTAAGGACTATACAACTGATTCGGCCTTGCATTGCTACTACACTACGAAAGCTGGTTTCAGCTTCTTAAACCCGAACAAATGATTGAGGTCAGGAAGCATAGGAGAAACGGCCATGGTCTCTGGAGCCATGAAATTTACTATCTTCTCATCAACATTGTACCTGCAAAAGCATAATGCAATAACCCTTCAACAGTCTGGCCTAGTTTGCTCAACAGATGCTCCAAGATAATCCAAAACAACACCATAGCAGTTTCACATAGGGAACCGAAGAATCTATTGACACCTTATCTTGCGACTCTTAGAGGCTCTTTTGTCAACAATCTTCATCTTCTTAGCATGCAACTTTTTCAAAGATTAAAATGCTGCTCTCTGCGGATAATCAAATAGTGTAAAATCAAAATGAATAAACAATAGAAGTTCAGGATCAATTAGGTCGCGATTGTTAGCAGGAATAACTGCTAGCTTCTTCCATTTTAAAGTTACATACTTCACACTGATGAGCAGTAAGATGGACGGTGGAGATGGTACAAGTAGACACTAGTTTGTCAGTGAGATGTACGTCGCAGATTGTACATGAAATGATGCAAGTTTTCATGGCGGGAAACAGGGGTTGAACTGTTACCCGGGATTATGACCCTACATGAGATATAGAGTGACTGCATAGGGGAGTGGTGAAGAATAACTCATAGAAAGTTATGGTTCTCTACTTTTTTTCGAACCTAGAGAGTTATAGGAAATTTTGTCTTACTCATAGTAACCACAATCAAGCATACACAATGTACCGCACAAACCTAAGTGTATGACAACGACATGACTGAAGAGAAAAATCAAGATTAATCTAACAGCAACTTACATAAAACGGTTTTAATAACATTTTAGTTGAAAAATACATTGTCATGAGAAGTGTGATGAATCCGTTACATATTGAGCATTCTTACGGACCAAAATATTCTTATACAAATCAACCATCCTCTCAGACTCTATTTACTTATCCCCGTTAAGCAAGTTCCTCTTACAACTAGTTATTGCATTAAGCAAGTTCAAGAAAGAGCAGTGAGAAACGTAAGGAAATGATAAACACACACTGAATTTGTCCTCCTACACACTGCGGTTTAATCTTGTCATTATTTTCGTTTGATCGATTCAATTCGGTGGTTAGAAATGAAGAAGGGGGTGTAAAAATCAATCTTTGAAACATATTGTACATACACAATTTCTCTTTTTATAGGAACTGCTAATATGGTCTGAATAATATGTCAATATCACATTGCTAAAATTATTAATGCAAAAATAAATAATGTTAGCAAAATCCGTTATTTGATAAGAAAAGAAGTCTTGTACAGAGAATTTTTGTACAACACATTACCATGCAACCTAGTTCTATGTAGGTCAAGTGACCAAAATGAACCGTGAAACTATGGTTGCATCTTGTACAGAGTTGGACTCTTGGACGCAACAAAGATCAGTAAACATCAATTCTGAGCTATGTTATATGCAGAAGAGATAGGAACCAAATCTCCATAGGAAGTTCACCACCAAACCAACATAATTGTCCACGGTAAGTGAGGAAGCAATAAACTCATTCAAAACGAGTAGGCGAGCAGGAATAACATAAATCTATATTGTGTAGTCACCATCTTTGAAATAAGAATATGCTTACGCCATGTAAAAGGGAAATGCCAAGCCTGCAGCTGCGAAAATTACCAAGCGAGTAGGAACAATTGCATTCCGTGATTGGGCCATGGAGAGTAAGCGGGAAACTAAATACGGAGTAAACAAGGAACATAACTGTTATAACTTATATTCAGCTGGATTCTTCAGTGAAGCTACTTGAAAACTAAGTGACTATGAAACTAACTATTCGGTATACTCCAAGTGAACACTTCCATGAAATTGTCTCGAAAATTACAGCCCAGAATCAAAGTGAGAACAAACATCTAGTTTATTTTCATTACCAACGAACACACCAGTTTAATCAAACGAAATGTTCAGCAGACTGTAAATTTGGACAAGGAAATGCTCAACTGATAAAACAGATTGGAATTTGGGGTATGCCTATGTGTATCCAGCAGCTAAACATTATCCATGCCAACCTAACCTTCAAACTATAAGAAAGCTACAAATACCCTACTTTCAGCTCAAACGCTAAATCTTACATTCAGATCCTACTAAACAAGGGATAAAATACATTTCAGTTTCTTCCAGTTGGCAGTTACAATGCATGAACATTGCACATAATCCCACTAGGACTGATTCTAAACCTAACCAAGATTATAGCACACGGAAGTGACAATCCGTCAATGCCATCAATGCACAGCTCTATAATTACCAATGGTTGTCTCCACAAAGACCGATGCACACACTTCAGCCTACTAACAGTCACATGAATCCTGATTGTATAAACACCATTCACACTCACAAGTTGCTTTAAGAATAAAACGTGTATAAGAAGAAAAATATCAATTACATTGAATTCCCTTTCAGAATTCAGAATAATGGTATTCCGAAAAGAATATAGGATTACTGGAATAGTCAATAAGCTTAAGAAACAGTCTACAACTTCCCCGACTAATGTAATGTCGAACGAAGAACTCCATATGTCTCCGAAAGGAGTTATATCACACTGAACAACTTCCAACTAAAATTCTCCACAGTTTTTCACATTTTTTGAATCATGAATAACCCTCCAACTCATATTAAGAAATTAAAAGGCTTGACAAGCCCCAATTTTCATAGAACAAACAATGAACACATCTATCACTTCGTTAATCATGGATTTAATTTCCGCATATTTTGATCCCAACAGGTAATTAGTCATTCACAAACAAACAAAAAAGATCAAAATTTTCTATATATTGGGCAATATTAACCAAAATTCAATACAATCATATATAAAAAATGGAAGAAAAACCCTAAATTTAAACAAATTGCATGAAGAAATGATTTGGGGGATTCCAATCGAAGTTTGCAAACAAGAAATAACAGAGAGCTTTTGAATCACCTGAGTCACTTCCGACAGACGCGGATTGCTGATGAAAGAAGCAACAACTCGCCGCGTGCTCTGACTGGGTTCAAGACTCAGGCTTTAGCCTAAACATCTTGGGCTAAAATGAAGAACTCATTAAAATTGGGCCAGAAACTTAAATTTAATTATTTAGCATTTCGTACCCGAGAAATCATTTCCGTACATCCCTAACTGATGGCCTGAATATCATATCGTTTAAGCTTTCTTCCAACCTTTTTTTTTTCTTTTTAAACAAACAATATTACCTACGTCAAGAGAGTGCAAGAGTGGGCTACACTTAACAATAGGAAGCCATAATAATATGTTTTAAATTCACATTTGTCAACAATTAGACCTAAAACAACGGGACGAGTTGGTCAAGTTTGGTCTACATGATATTGGTTTTATTTCTTGCATTTAGATGGAGAGAGAAAGGCCACTTTTATTTTAGGATAGTGTTACCCAAACACTATATTTACTTCTCACACACTCCTCTCATTTTTTTACGATGGATAGAATGACTTGAAAAGGATCAATGACAAAAAACGATAGATAGAATGACTTGAAAAAGATCAATCACAATAAATAAACAAATGTGTGTGAGAAGTACAAATAAAAGATACAAATAGGTGTGTGAACCCACCGTTCAATTAAATCGAATTTTAGACATTCCCCTTACAAGTACAAAAGTATGGAAAATGATCCTTGCCTGATCCTTTTCCTAGAGATCCAGGGATCCTATGATTCTGTCCGTTTATCATATACCGTGCGGTCAATTTTCGTTAGGTACTATTTATATTTAATTTAAAATTTAAAATGATTTCTGACTGCATAATGTACGATGAACGAACACGATTACAGAATCTTCTAGATCCCAGAAAAAGGAAAATGAGCCTTTTTCCCAAAAGTATGACTAGAGAGTGCAGTGATAGTTGTTGATAGACAACTGTTTTAAAATTTACAAAAATCAGTGGGTAACGTTTGTAGTTTACAATTTTCAGAGAGGCCAAAATGATAAAACACAAATTGTGCCGAGAGAGATAGGATAGTAAATCCCATAAGAATCCTAGGACTCTGTGCGTGAGAGCAAGAGAGAGTGGCAGTGTGAGCGTAAAGGAGCGACAATGGCATCCGCAGCATCGACTCTGTCATGGAGTTCTTCCTCGTGGCTTCAAAGCTTCGCCCGAAACACAAACGAAGCCATTAAATTGTCAGATAGAAGAACGGGATTGGTGGTTATTACTCAGAAGAAAGCAAAGAAGGCTCGAACGGTAAATTTGAGAAATGGGTTCTCTTCTTTTACTCCAGTGCTTCAATGGTTACCCAAAAGTTCAAATTTTTATAGTTTCTCTGCTTCCAGAATTCGTAAATGAAGAATCCTCCTCAATTTTGTGTTCCATTTTCTTTTATTCTTACTAATTCAAAGTGTAATAGTGAATTTGAATGTAGTCTTATTGTGAGGTTGTTTAATTTAATTGTTTTTGTTGGAATGTTTCAGATAATTCTAAAGGAGGACATAACTGATCTGGGAAAGAAAGGGCAACTTCTAAGCGTGAAAGCTGGTTACTACAGGAATTATCCGCTGCCATTGGGGATGTCACTCCCCTGCGGCTCAAGTAATGCATAAATTCAACTTTTTATTCGATTTTTGTCACATTTTCGATTTTGAAGTGTACGATAAGGCTTGTGAATCTGTTGTATTGTGCTTACAGAAGTCGAACTAGTTTGATGACAAGAAGTTTTAGTTGGAATCCATAAGATAGGACTTATGCAGAATGCTGACGGAATTGATTAGATGATGTATAATGAGATGGATAGAGGAGGCATATACAATACAAGTTGTGAAAGTAATGTATGAAATGTTGATTGGTGTTTGTGGTGGTGAGACTTGATTATCGTTACTCAACTGCTCTCAAATGTAAATAGCCTTTAGAGTATACTACTAACTCTGAAATTCGTTCGTAATAAATCCACAAAAAATTTGAGTGGCCAACCCATTTGTATACTTCGAGATTGGATCCATACTCATATTTGTTATCAATGTGAGGTACTAAAAGTAATACTTCTCAAGTTGTCTGCATCAAAATGTGAACTTTTATTTGCATAACTATTATGCATTTTAGTTGCTTCTGCTAATTAATTGGAAACATCTCAGTCTTTGACATTCACACTTCGGATTTTTCGGGAAAAATGATTATATCTTAAGGACTTGTTACTCATAATTTTAATTGTTCTTTCCAGGGAAATGAAGGTGGAAGAGGAAAGGATTGAGGCAGAGAAAATACGGGTATTTAGATGGAACATTTATTTGTCTCCTTTTGGGTCGGGGCTGTACAGATGTTATTATAACTCAAATCGTAAGTATGATTTGGATGTACCCTGTCTCGGTGCCTCCTGTCAGTTTGCCGTTCCATGTCTCTATACATCATGGTAACCCCTGTGCACATATCATTCATTAAGGCTCAGGTTTTGGGGCTTTGGACATATCATGCCATCCTAAGCTGCCCTGAAGAGCATGGGCTGCTTATAAAATGATGCTACTTCTAGCTATCCCTTGTCAAGTCATGGGAAAGACAGCAAAGCTGCTTGTCACAAATAGAGTGTACCTGGAGAATACCTTTGTATCTTTAAGTGGATTAATGAGCGCTACAAAATGCAAATAATTACATTCTATGTGACGTTGAATACCCAAAAAACTTCTGAGCTGACTTATTGCCTCTCTTGGTTGTAGATTCTATATTGTCTGAATTCGTCCTAACAATTATGTCTTGTAAGATTGTTTCATCTTGGTGCAGGTAAAAGAAGAGGCAGAACAACTTGCTCAGATTTTTGAAACTGTTGGAGGTTTCAAGGTGAAGCGCAAAGGTGGAAAAGGGAAGTTAATTTTTGGAAGGTGAGTTGCTTTCAGTGCAATGTTAAGTACTTCATGCACTGTCTGCGTATGAATTTTAACAGAGACGTGTTTCTGCAGTGTGACACCCCAAGATCTCGTTGACATAATCAAGGCACAACTTAATAGGTTAGTATCTTTTATCAAGTAAGAGTATGATCATTATACCAATCACAATTTTCCCACGAGCACTGTTATTGTCATCGTGAATTTTTTATGCATGACATATACCAGACGAGCTTCTTAACACAAGCATCAATAATTTTAAACTGCAACTACCCCCGAAATAACTAACAAAAGAAAGAAAAAAGAAGAGGGAAAAGAAACAAGAAGGATTTATGTGTATGCTGTTCCTATCAATGCATTTGATTAAAGCTTTAGGAACTTCCAGATAATACCTTCAAAACATATTCCTGGAACACAACTTTTCCAAACATTGAAAGCTTGTGATGATTTATTGTATGTTCATGCATTTTGCAGTTTAAGAGCTTGCGATAATCATATGCATATGGATAGCAGATATTGTGATATTTTTCAGTTAAAACCTTTCATGCTCGTGTTTATATTTTTGTCTTTGCCAAATACACCCATGCTCGACTGACACTCCATTCTCTGCTCTTTCGTTCATGTGTAGGGAAGTGGACAAGCGCATTGTTTCTCTTCCAGATATTCGAGAGATAGGAGAATATATTGCAGAACTGAAGCTTCACCCAGAAGTCACTGCTAAAGTGCGAGTCATCGTTTCGGCTAACTAGGGATAAGCACCTCCTGGAGTTATCTTCGAGGACCCACGGGAGCGGAGAAGATGAATTTTTGATGTGTTTGTGCAGGATGTACATGGCCAAAGTATGATCCACATCATCTATTTAATATAGGCACCAATTGGAAGGTGGCTGCAATGTAATTTAATGAAAGTAGAGATGTATAAATCTGATTTTCCTGCCAATGTATTTTTAGCGTTCATTACATTTGATTAGATACCACTTTTTTGGAAGTATTATTTGTTTCTTGTGAGTGATAATTCCTCTTCTCAGCAAATTTTGGTACTTCAATTGTCACCCCAAGTAGTCCCAAGATTTTGGTAAATAATTCTTCAATTTTCTCTTTTTTTGGTAAAAAAGTTTATAGGAATGTCTTTGCAAGCTCAACTCTGCATTGTATGTGAATGCTCCAAACTGTCTGGTGTTTAGGTTTTTATTTAAAAAAAAAAAGAATCGTCCTTTTAAAAGAACATTCAAATCTGAAAACGTTTAAACCACTCAATAAAATGGTTGTTATTTAAGTGGTTTCTTGAACTACCGTTTTCGGCTATCTGTTTTACTACTTTTGAATTGTCCAATTTTTCACAATATTGATCTAAGAAAAAAAGCTTGAAAAATAAATAATTTGGCTCATCGAAATTAAATTTAAGAGTGCTACAAGGTGTCTCCGAAATAACTAAACCCTGAAGGAACTGTATTAAAATGCAAAAACCTACAACACAAGAAGTTGCTGTGGTGTAGTGGTTATCACGTTAGTCGTACACACTAATGGCGCGTTTACGTAACGATAATGAAAATAGGAGGAATTGAATTGAGGAGGAGTTGGAATGAGGAGAAGTCAAAATCGGATTTCTGTTGAAACTGTTTACTTAAATGTTCTGGAATCGGAATAGAATTCCATAAAACTGTTTACTAATTCAGTAGAATCAAAATATAAATCAGTATGATTACTAAAATGTCCTTGTCCCAAATCAAATATTTTATATACTTTAATGGGTTTATAAAGAATAGTCTTGGAAATAAAAAAAGTAAGTGAGGGCATAAAGGGAACTAAAGTGTCATTCCAATTGCCCAAACAAGCAGGAATTGGATTCCCACCTATATCTGGGGAATCCAATTCCACCAATACAAGGAATTGAATTCCAAAATTTGTTTGGGCCCCACTGCTTTTTCGATTCCTCTATGTTTAGTAAACACCGGAGTACTCCATAATCGGAATTCAATTCTACATTTTCATTCCGATTACGGATACGTAAACACGCCTTAAAGGTCCCCAGTTCGATCATGGGCAGCAACATAATTAATTAATTTTTATTTTATTTTTTTAATAAATGGAAAGGTTTGTTATTTAATAGTTTCTACATGGTTATCACAAAGTTGCTGTAGTGTAGTGGTTATCACGTTAGTCTTACACACTAAAGGTCTCCAGTTCGATCCTGGGCAGCAACATGTTTGTTTTTTAACCTTAGCCTTTTTATTATTCTTTTAGGAAAACTAATGAAAAATACTTGAAAACTTTGAGTTTTAATGATAAAAACAAAATAAAGGGTAAAGTGAATAGTACCATGAT